AGGGAGGAGTGAAGACCACGACGACGACGACGACGACGACGACGACGGCGACGGCGACGAAATAGGAGGGACAACGACGAGACGCCGACGAAGACAACGAGGGAGGAAGGACGACCACGGCGACAACGACGACGGAAACGACGACGAAGCCAAAGAGGACGAGGAAAAACAGAAGACGACGACGGCGACGACGACGACGACGACGACGAGGGAGGAGGGAGGACGACGACGACGACGACGACGCAAGAGCGCGCGCGCACAATTTTGTTGAAAACCCGTGTTGCGAAACCTTGTGTTTTTGTAGGTTTTTTGGACGCACGATTTCGACATTCTTCCGAAACCGAAGGTTTTTGAAGGATTTCGGCATACGCCCGCGACGACGCGCGCGTCTGCACTTCGTCCCATTTTTTGCAGAGGATTCTCGCGACGGCACACGCGCAAGAGCGTTCGACAGATTTCGACATGCGCGCGCGCGAAGCCCGTTTGGTAGCATTTTGTGAAAATCTTGGAAAAACCTATGGTTTTCTTAAGATTTCGCAAGAGCTCGCGCGGAAGTTTTTCTTTGAATCAGTGTTGCGAAACCATGTGTTTTTATTATATGTTTTTTGGAAATTCAATTTTGAAATCTCTCCGGAACCGAAGGTTTTTTAAGGATTTCGGCATGCGCGCGCCACGACGCGCGCGTGTGCACTTCGTCCCGTTTTTTGCAAGGGATTCGTGAAAAAAGTGATATGTTAGAACAAAACATGTCACCGCATAGTGTTTTTTACAAGGGAACCGCAGGGGGGGGGAACCCGGCCTGGCTGGGATGATATGAATTCATATTTAGGATGGACATGTGGTCAGAATCATATGTAATTTACAGCACGCGCGGGGTAACCGATAAGTCCGGGGGGGGGTAGAATCTATTAGTCTTTTAGAAAGGAGAATTAATTTGCTGAACTTGAAGTTGTCTTCTCCACTGCTCGCGCAAACATCCCACCCACCCACCCGCAACTTGGTTTGCAAAACCTGTTAAGACCGACTACGACGACACCGACGACAACGACTAGGACGACACCGACGACGTCTCCGACGACTTCGACGACGACAACGACGCCGACGCCGACGACGACGAAGACGACGACGACGACGCCAACGAAGGCGACGACGAGGAAGGAGGAAGGACGACGACGGCGACAACGACGACAACGACGAAGGAGGAGGGAGGACGGTGACGACGCGAACGACAACGAAGGAGGAAGGACGGCGACGCCGACGACGACAACGACGAGGGAGGAGGGAAGACGACGACGACAACGACGACGACGACGGCGACGACATAGGAGGGACGACGATGAGACGCCGACGACGGACGACGACGACGACGTGGGAGGAGGAGGAAGGACGACCACGGCGACAACGACGATGGAAACGACCACGACGCCAAAGAGGACGACGACGACAAACAGGAGAAAAGACAGAGGACGACGTAGGCGACGACGACGACGACGCGGGAGGAGGGAGGACGGCGACGACGACGACGACGACGCAAGAGCGCGCGCGCGCACGCTTTTGTTGAAAATCCGTGTTGCGAAACCTTAGGTTATTGTAGGTTTTTTGGACGCACGATTTTGAAATCCTTCCGAAACCGATGGGTTTCGAAGGTTTTCGGCAGACGTCCGCGACGACGCGCGCGTCTGCACTTCGTCCCATTTTTTGCAAAGGATTCTCGCGACGGCACGCGCGCAAGAGCGTTCGACAGATTTCGACATGCGCGCGCGCGAAGCCCGTTTGGTAGCATGTTGTGAAAATCTTGAAGAAAAAAAAAAAAAAAAAAAAAAAAAAAAAAAAAAAAAAAAAAAAAAAAAAAAAAAAAAAAAACGATGGTTTTCTTGAGATTTCGCAAGAGCTCGCGCGGAAGTTTTTTTAGCAAACCAGTGTTGCGAAACCATGTGTTTTTGTATGTTTTTCGGAAACTCGATTGCGAAATCCTTCCGGCACCGAAGGTTTTTGAAGGATTTCGGCATGCGCGCGCGACGACGCGCGCGTGTGCACTTCGTCCCATTTTTTGCAAGGGATTCATGAAAAGTGTTATGTTAGAAAGAAAAATGTCCCCGCATAGTGTCATTTGACAGGGAACCGCAGGGGGGGGGGAACCCGGCTTGACCGGGATGGCATGAATTCATATTTAAGATGGACATGTGGTCAGAATCATAGATGATTTACAGCACGCGCGGGGGAACCGATAAGTCCGGGGGGGGGGGGGGTAGAATCTATTAGTCTTTTAGCCACTCTGCGGAACTTGAAGTCGTCATCTCCACTGCTCGCGCAAACATCCCACCCACCCACCCGCAACTTGGTCTGCCAAACCTGTTAAGACCGACTACGACGACACCGACGACAACGACTAGGACGACACCGACGACGTCTCCGACGACTTCGACGACGACAACGACGCTATTGGTCTTTTCGAAAGGAGAATCTGCTTGTGCATACCACGGTGGCGACGAGGCGGCGACGGTTCGGCGATGGCGACCACACAGCCACCAAGACCGACGGCACGGCCCAGACGACGAGGCGGCGACGAGGCGGCGACGGGGCGCCGACGGCGGCCACATAGGCGCCATCACCGAAGGCGCGGCGCAGGCCTCTTGGAACAGAAGAAGCGCAAGCGATCTATGGGAAATCTGCGGACATACATGCACGTATACACTTGTACAGTGTGCACGCACACACACACACACACACACATACACACACACACGCGCACACAAACACAAACACACACGCACATATATATATATATATATATATACCTATACGACCACCCTTCGGGTGATAAGGAGGTTCGGGGGGGGGGGAACCAACGTCTCGCTCGATCGGTCTCACTATCGATCTCACTATCGATCTCATTATCGGTCTCGCTCGATCGATCTCCCTCGATCGATCTCACAATCGATCTCACAATCGATCTCACAATCGATCTCACTCGATCTCACTCGATCTATCTCACACTCGATCTCACTCGATCATCATCATCATCATCATCATCATCATCATCATCATCATCATCATCATCATCATCATCATCATCATCATCAGCATCACCATCATCATCATCATCATCAACATCAGCATCAGCATCATCAACAGCATCATCATCAGCATCACCATCATCATCATCATCATCATCATCATCATCATCATCATCATCATCATCATCATCTCATCATCATCATCATCATCATCATCATCATCATCATCATCATCATCATCATCATCGCGGGACACCGCGGGACACGGGCGGGACACCGCGGGGCACCGCGGGACACCGCGGGACACCGCGGGACACCGGCGGGACACCGCGGGCCCCGGCCGCCCGGAAGGGAGACATTTGGTCCGGCCGCGCCTCAGCCACACGGGACACCAGCGGGACACCGGCGGGACACCGCGGGCCCCCGGCCGCCCGGAAGGGAGACATTTGGTCCGGCCGCGCCTCAGCCACAGGAGACTTTCTTCTCGCCCGCCCACGCAGCTTCGCCTCGCCCGCACGCACGGCACGCACGAACACGAAACCGAAATCGATTTCCCGGTAGGGGGGCTCTCCGTTCCACTTCGATCTCACCCCCTCACCTCCGATACATATAAATAGGTAAATTCGCCGGCCCAACGGGCCAGGGCGTGCTAAGATCTCCGGTAACTGGTTAACAGTATTAACAGTATTTCTAGTTCGCGCGCGCGGGGCGGCCCCTGGGGGTCCCCCGGCGAAAAGTACCCCGACCAACGCCCGGTCGCCGCCCGACCGCCGCCCGACCGCCGCCCGACCGCCGCCCGACCAAGTCTACTCAGAGATGGTTTTCCTTCTGGGTGCGGCCTCTCAGGCTCCCCAGAGCGCGCTCAGAGTGCCCCAAGAGGCCCCCAAGACTGCCCAAGAGGCCCCCGAGACGCCCAAAGAGCGCTCGAAGACGCCGAAGATGACCCCAAGACGGCCCAAAAGGCCCCCAAGACAGCCCAAGAGGCCTCCAAGACGCCCCAAGAGCCTTCCAAGAGGCCTCCGAAGAGAGCCCCAAGAGGCCAAAATCGTTGATTTTCATTGGTTTTTTCGATGTTTTTTGTGTTCTGGCTTTTTCGGCTTCCGGACGCTCCAAGACGGCCCAAGAGGCCCCCAAGACCGCTCCAAGACGGCCCACGAAGCTCCCAAGACGGCGCCGAAACGACCCAAGAGAGCCCTCAAGACGGCCAAGTGCCGCCCAAGACGGACCAAGAGGCCCCTCAGGAGGGATACCGAGAACTCAAAAATGGAGCCCTCCGTCCCAGAAGGCGCCCAGGAGGTCCCAAAGAGGCCCCAAGAGGCCTCCAAGAGGCCCCAAGATGTCGCCAAGAGGCCCCAGGAGACTCCCAGGAGGCCCAAAAGAAGCCCCAGAAGGCTTCAAACATGTCTCCCAGGCGCCCCCGAACGGCCTCTCAACAGACCCCAAGAGGCCCCCCAAAGAAGCATCTTGACGACGACTCTATTTCGCCCCATCGAGAGACGACCCCCAGGGAACTGCTTCACCATCAAAACTCCCCACGCAACGCGTCCGAACGACACCCGCCCCCAAGAGCGCAACATGGGCAACGAACACACAGACACAAACCAGCGATGCCATATCACGGGCCGGCGGAATGAGCGAAGCGATTCAATAAATAAATAAACATATATATATATATATATACATATATATATATATCACATGGATGTACACAAATGGACATACATCTGTACACATATACATATGAATTTGAGCTTGTAGGACGGGGAAGAGAAGGTGTGTGCAAGAAAGAGACGCATCTTGAAACGAACTACTGATCCATTCCCTGTCACATTGGTGCCCAGAGCTGGAAGGCACCACTAATGGTATGGGACAAAGCGTCGATCGCCGAGGTTAAAGATCGGGAAGCAGGGCCCAGGACACAGGGCGCAGGGAGTTGCAGCGGCAGCAAAACGAGCGGCGTTTCGGGCCGGCCGCGAGCAGCTCCTCGTCCCAGGCCTCGCCCCCAGCGGCGCCCTCCGCCTGCTGGAAGCGGAGCTCCCTGTCGGAGTACCTCGCGAGCTGGCCGTACTGGAACTTCTGGGGGGCGGTGCCGTGCAGCGCGGCCGAATGGTCCAGCGACGCAATTCCGCCGATGCCACGTCGAGGGGGCCTCGGCCCCTTGCCCTTGCCCTTCGCGGACGCCTTGCCTCCAGTAGCCTGCTGGGGAGGGCGCCCACCGCAATAATCATCATCACTACCACCATCGTCACCACCATCATCGTCGTTTTCCCCTATTGCCATCATCATCATCATCATCATCATCATCATCATCATCATCATCATCATCATCATCATCATCATCATCATAACCATCGTCATCACCATCAGCATCACGACATCACAAAATAAACCATCTCATCAGCATCGTCACCATCACCCCCCTCTCCATCATCATCACCACCGTCAGCATCATCACCAGCGCCGTCACCAACACCAACACCACCACCGCCATCATCGTCATCATCCTCATCGTCATCATCCTGAGCATCATCTCGATCACCACCATAAGCATCATCATCACCAGCACCACCGTCATCACCTTCACCATCACCATCACCAAGACCATCATCATCGTCATCATCGGCATGATCTCCAAGGCTCGTTTCCCAAAGCACCCCATGTGTGAAGCCTGCGAGGAAAAGCCGGCCAAACGGCGGCCACGGGCGCCGGGGCGCAGCGGCGTTATCCCTGCCGCGCGGCCCCACAGAGCCCCAAAGACAGAGCTCTCTCAACCTGTTCCGGAGCTGTTCGCAACGGTGCGGGGGAAGGGCGAGAAAGCAGCAGCCCACTTCCGTCTACGATCCTAACCGCTGTGCTCACATGATATCCGACGCTCGTCTTCCAAAGCACCACATGTATGAAGCCTGCGAGAAAAAGCCAGCCAAAGGGCGGCCAGGGGCGCTGGGGCGCAGCTGCGTTATCCATGCCGCGCGGCCTCACAGAGCCCCAAAGACAGAGCTCTCTCAACCTGTTCCGACCCCACCGTCATTGCGACGGATTTGATTTGCGCCTTGCTCCTGTGGTGCGTTGGTGACACAGTCACACCGCCCCGCGCGTCTGGAGCGAGTTGAACAAGCTGCTGGACACGCTGAAGGCCGTCGGGCGCCATGTGGGCGAAGGACAAGGCGGCCGCACCCATCTGGAGATGGTGATGCGTCAATTTCGCCTTATCCCATTGCCCACGGTATTACAGCAGGCCGAGATTCTGAAACAAGCGGAACTGATGGATGGCCCCGCCTCCACATAGCGGCCAGCTCCCTGCACGGAGCCAACAGAAAACTTCTAGTTGTTACCCCCGATCCACCTCGCGATGTTCCCCCGCAGGGGCCTCCGACATTGTGACTGCCCACCGACGTGACGAAACATTTCCGCGACGATTCGAATCAAGAGGAAGAATTTGCCCGCTTCATTCACGAATATGCTGGGGACCTCGAGGGGACTCGCCTGGAACTCGTGAAGGTTCCTGGCTGCGTATGCCTCTTCCTGCTGCTTTGCCAGCGCGCCCTCCTCTTGCAGGCCATAGGGCACGGAGACCACCATGGTCAAGACCACGACCCAAGCGTACGAAGACTTCCCTAAAGAGCGGAAAGCCAGCCCCATGAAGATATGGTGGGTCCAGCTGTCAAGAGTACTTTCGCCGTAGTGTGTGCTCTGGAAAAGTACGCCCCCCAGCGCACGCAGCTATTCGTCAAAATCCTGAGCCGATCAAAACAGTGGTGAAGAAGTACAACCTGGTGGTGCTCGGCGGGTGGGTCAAGGAGGCTCTGACCCTCCATTGCTACGAGCGCGGAGAAGGGGCCATGCAGCAGGGTCTTATTATCACCATCACATCATGACAATCTTCTTGTTGATATCACCGATCGTCATCAACACACATTACATTACCAAGTAGCTGGAAGCACATCCGGCTTCAAACACACCCGGAAAATCCGGAGGCCACCCGTCGGATTCGCATCCGGAACGCCAATCGCCGGAATCGCATCAGGAGGCCCACGCTGGGTACATATCTGGACGACCAGTCGCTGGAGTTACATCCGGGTGCCAGGGCTGGATACACATCCGGCCCGCCATCTGGGGCCGACCGACTGGGGTACGAACATGTGATCTGATAACATGATGTGGCCTTCATTTGCTTCTCGTCCAGCTCATCCCTACGAACGTGCCCCCGCTGAGAGGGTTTCTTGTCCATCCCAACTCCTGGGTAAACCCCGACAGGGTAAGAGAATGAATGAGAGCGCAGAATGCCGAATCTAAGCCAGGAAGAGGGGTCGCTAGGAGGGAGGAGGGACGCAGGGAGAAGGAAAGGAAGAACACGGAGAAAAGGGAAAGGCGGGGGAGAAAGGAGGGAGTCCGCGGTAGGAAAAGCAAGATTCACGAGCTCAAGAAGTGCATAAATTTCTCTGCTGGGAGGCGCCAGGCAGTCAGCCCGACGGCAAGAGCGCGATCTGTTAGTACAACCTGCGAGGAAGTCCCAGGCGTGCTCGCAAGTTCTCCGCAAAATCTAAGGAAATCTCAGGCACGAGGGAGATCCCTAAGAAAGTGTGAAGAAGTGCCAGGCAAACGCTTCCTGAGCGGCGAGAGCGCGATTCCTGGGTACACTGTGAAGAGGTCTCGGGCGAGAGAGCGACTCCTGAGCACCGTGTGCAAAGTCTCAGGCGGGAGCAGTCGTTGTCGCAGTGGTGCCTTCAGAAATCATTCAGAATCAAGCCCAGGCGTAAGAGCGCGCCTCACATTCAAAGAGACTGCAGCCCGCAATCGAGCGAGAACGCTCAAAAAATCTTCCGCACACTGGGGGTAATTAATCTCGATGGGCGATGTTCAGTGTTCTGTGAGTGGGCCCCCTCCTCCTCCTATCCGGTAGTTCCCCCACTGGGAGAAGAAGGAGGGACAAGAAGGAGGGGACGATCGCGCCAAGCCCAAATATACACGAATGCCATCTGTTCTGTCCATTAGGCTGCGTCCCTGAGTCGGCCCCCACGGGCTCGAAACCGACAACCTCCGAAGAAGGACAGGAGAAGGAGGAGGAGGGGGAAGATGAGGAAAAGGACAGTCAATGTAAAGCATCCATGGAATTTGCCTGCGCTCCGTGCAGGGTCTGGGCAGCTCCACGGAGACCTCTGCAAAAGATTAAAGACACATGGGACATCCCAAGTCTCGGACCATGTCAGCGGTGTCACCCCACTCCACCACATCAGCTGCAGCACAAACACCACGGCGGATAGGGAGGGAGAGAGGGAGGGGGACCGAATGACAGGAGAAATTGAAACAAACACGACGCTACAGAGCGTTGGGCGCAAGCACTCGCCAACAAATCATAAGTACTATAGATGCAACTGGTGATGCAAAAAGGTGCCGCCCCGACAGCTCCCCCATTGTGGGAAGTGTCTTCACCTAACCAGCAACGATTATTTGACGGGGACCCTCGAGTGCGAGGGAGGGGGAAGGGTGGAATAAAGGGCAATGAGATAGGAGCGGGGAGCGAGCAGGAAGGGAGCGAGGACGAATAATGGAGGAAGAGGAGGAGGAGGAGGAGCGAACGTACCCAAAGGAGGAGAAAGAGGATGAGGCCGCAGATGAGGAGAAGCAGAACGAAATATGGGAAGAAAAGGAAAGGACGTGGGGAGAGAGGGTAACAGGAGGAGGAGCGAGGGATGATGGACAAGGCAGTGCAGGGTAGGAAGGGAGCGTTGAGGTAGGGCGAAGGAGGAGTGAAGGAGGAGGTGGAGAAGGAAGCTCGAGAGGAGGCAGAAGCGGCGAAAGGCGGGCGGGCGGGCAGGAAATGGCGGGGCGGCTTGCTCCCGTGTCCGCGGGCACCCCGGGAGCAGCCGCGGGCGCCCCGCCGCGAGACTGGCCACCGGGGCCGTCCATCCTCCGTGCTCCTCCGCTCCTAGGTGGTCGGTTGGGGCCGCGGTGTTTTTTCGCCGCCGGGCTGGGCGGCACACACACACACACACACACGCATCCTGCCAGAATTGCTTTCTGGGCACAAGGCTCCGAACTAGCAGCCCCGTGGAAAGGGCCCCAGGCGGCGCTGCGGTTCCTGACGTACCCTTCCGCCGGGTCGATCCGATCCCCCTCCGTTCTTTCTTCGCCACCGCCATCCACCTCACCCTCAGACCCCGCAGGCACCCGAGCAAATGGCAACCGTGATGCAATCCGGGCCTCTCGGAGGCCTCTTGGGATGCTTTTCGGCGGCTTCTCGGGGGGTCCCTCGGGGCCTCTTAAGATTGAGGGCCTCGTGGGAGTGGTTCTGTGATGATCATGGGTTGAACTTTCCGTTGGCGAGTCGCGATCACGTCGTAAACCAGTGGCTCCGTCTCCACCGTCCGAGCCCCCGCGGTGTTGGGACTCACATCGGTATGAGTTCAAGCATCGATTATGCTTGTGGTGAGCACATGGCCTCCGGCACACACATCGATCGTGCTGCTTTGCTGTTGTGATCAGCCGCGCCCACGACCTCCTCTCCCCGGTCCGATGCCGAGCTTGAACGTTTGAAGCGAGGATGCTGAAAGCCGAAAGTCCTGGATCCTCAACCTCGCTGACGACCCTGCCAGCAAACGCGTCTACCTATACGTTTGAAGGGTGGCTGTCCGCGTGGAAGCATGACTGGCACGAGCGTGTCGCCTCGCGGGCTTGTTGGAAACGAACACTTGCTGACGGAGTCAAGGCGCATTCTTCTCGAGCACTGCACATCTCAGCTGCGCAGGAGAAGAGATGAGACGACCATGAAGCTCAAAAAGAGTAAGTAGTTTTCAGGTGTGGGCAGAGACATCGGAGAACAATAGACATGCAATATCGATGCGCCTGGCTTTCAACTCAAACTGGCTACGGACTTCTCTTCCGCCCTCCTTCCTCCCCCTCCTCCTCCTCCTCCTCATCATCATCATCCTCATCCTCATCCGCCCTCCTCCCGCCTCATAGTCATCCCCAGAGCCTCCACTCAAAATCCGCTTCATGATATGAGACCCCTTGCTCCATGTTGCCCCTTCTCCTGCTCCTCCGCCTCCTCCCCCCTGCAACCCTTCACGGGCCAGCGCAAGAAAAACTCCACGGGCGAGCCTGGCCGCCAGCGCGGCTCTGCACCCACGCCCGCGCCGCCATGGAGGCCTGGGGGGGGGGGCAGGGCGAGTCTCCTCCTCCTTCTCCTCGCCCCCTCCCGCTCCCCTTCCTCTCCTGGGAGCTGGAGAAGGGAGGAGGGAGGAGGGAGGAGGGAGGAGAAGGAGGAGGAGGCGGAGGAGGAAGCAGCACAGTCACCCTCTGTTCCTCCTCCCCTGCCTCCCCTGCCTCCCCTTCCTCCCCTCTCCTCCCTCCTCCTCCCACGCTCTCCCGCTCCGTGGTCATGCTGGCTCGAGTTAGCCGCGAGTCGGGAGGCCCGCGTCGCGGCGCCGCGGACGCCCGCGTCGCGGCGCGCAAGCGGCCCGGGACGGAGGCCCGAACGTGGGCGGCGGCCAGCGCGCGGACGCCTGCTCGGCGACTCTCTGCCGACGGCGGTGGTCTGAGCTGGGCTGCACGTGCGCTGCCCCGCGCTGCCCTGCGCATGAAGCTCGTCCGCTGCTCAATGGCGCAGCACTGGCGCCTGAGCGACCGCCTGGGATGACACCTCTCGTCGACTGGGGAGGTGGCGGCGGCCGCCCGGCTGTTGGGCGGTCGGGACGTGTCGAGATCGACGCGGAGGAGGGCGAAGATCACGGGCAAGTGGGCCAGGCATCGTGCCACCCCCTGCACTGGCGCGTCAAGGACCCCGCCCTCGCCGGGCTCTCGTCAGCGCAGTGGACCACCAGGAGCTCCACTTCGGCCTGTTCCGCGGCGACGTCGGGACGACCGACGACCGAGGACCGAGGCGACCTCGGAGGCCTGCGCGAACGAAGGGTACAATGAGGCACAGCGCCAACACCCAGCCCACCGTCGGAGCCCGAGGCATCGGGGCCTGTGCCCACCGCGGGCCTGCCGGGTGGCCAGCCGGTCGAGCTCGGGGACGGCTACGACGAGGCTGCGGACGCGCGGGGCGCCGCGGCCAAGCGCGAGTTGAAGAGCGTGGCGTCTAGCATCGTGGATGCCATCACAATGGACACTCTAACGATCCTATCATTGAATGAAAGATGTGTTTTTTAATTTTGAAAACGTGTCCTGAAAAGGTTTCAGACATGTGTTCACATGTTTTGAAACATGTTTGAAACATGTTTTAGACATCTGGGCATTATTTGGCAGCACGCTTCCTCTCCATTGATCGACCTCCACAAGTCTAGCATCGAGCTCGTGGAGAGCACGCTGGAAGATCAGCAGGGCGAGCACGAGTGCGGGCTCGGCATCCACGAGGTCGATATAGCTCCGAGGAGCTGCACGTGCAGGCCGCGTCGGACGCGGCGTCGAAGGCGGCGCCGGAGGTGCCGTCCTGGGCAACGATGAGAAATTGCCGCGGCTTGGAGCAGCCGACCCCGTCATGGAGAAGGGCGCGGCGCCGCGTGCCGATGTCGTGCTGGCGCTGAGCCAGATCAGCCCGAAGCAGCAGAGGATGGCGAGCCCCGTGATCACGAAGGGGAGGGCCTGCAAGGACATCTTAGCGGCCATGCAGGAGGGACGATGCCCAAGGTGCCTCTCCACGTAGCTTCGCCGGCATGGCGGTGGCCGTTATCTCTGACGCGCAGCTGGTCGAGGACGACCTCGTTCGCGAGCTGTCAGAGGACGACACCGAGCCGATCGCCCCGACGGCCTGTTACGAGGAGGGCGTACGCACAGCTCCTGGGTTCAGGGTGGCCAGGTCTCGCCCGACTGGTGCGGAAGTCCAGGTCGAGGCACCCCAAAGCTCGCCTTTCGGCATCCTCCAGGCGCGAGCAGGCCCGCCGCGGCGCGCCGATGGCGCCCAGGAGGCGCGCGCAGCGCCTGCAAGGGCAGGCAGCCTCGCGAGCCGCTGCGAGACTGACGCAGTGGGGGCGGTAGGGATCCTGAGTCCCTGCTGCCTCCCTGGCGGCCGCCTCCCTGGCGGCCGTCGGGGCGGTGGGGATCCTGAGTCCCTGCCGCCTCCCTGGCGGCCCGTCCAACTCCAACTCGCTCCTCCTCTCTCCTCATGCGCGCGCAGGACGACGACGACGACGACGACGACGACGACGACGACGACGACGACGACGACGCCCTCCCGGAGGAGGAGGAGGAGGAGGAGGAGGAGGAGGAGGAGGAGGAGAAGAAGAAGCATAAGTACGAGGAGGAGGAGGGAAAGGAGGAGGAGGAGGAGGAGCAGGAGCAGGAGGCGGGAGGCGGGAGGCGGGAGGCGGGAGGCGGGAGGAAGCCGAAGGGGAGGCCTGCGACGCCCTCCCCGCGGCGGAGGTGTCCGGGGCCGCCCGGCCCTTCCAGTCTGGCACGTGCCGCGGGCGCGCGGTCGCCTCGGCCGCGGGCCGGGGCTCCTGCGGGCGCTCTCGGGGGCGGCCCGGAAGGCCGGGAGCGGCCAAGAGGGGGGTGTCCAAGAGGGAGGGGTGCAGATCATGACCGGCGGCATGTGCGCGGCCCAGCGGGGGGACCAGGGACGTAACGAGGCAAGAGGAGGCGCCAGGAAAAATGGGGAAATATCATGGCCCCCGCCATGATATCCCCCCCCCTAGTCATCACCCCCCTCTGTGCCGCCCCCGAGAAGGCCAAGGTAGGGAAACGAATTCTATACACTGACGCTTTTTCCGACCCTGCGCTGAAATTCGACGGGATCCTGGTGTGTATGTGTACATGTTTCGCTGTTTCCCCTGGAGAACGGGGGGAGAAGTATGCACCACAGCACCCCGACGTCGTCCCCGACCCTCAAAAAGTCATGGGACTGGAAAAACGACCCGCCACTGGCAATGTACGTGTTCCGGTGCCCGACGAGGGTGCCTCTCGGGCGCTGGGCGCGGCCTGGGGGCGGCCCGAAGGACGTCTCCGGGGGCCCCGCTGGAGCCCCTGGCGTCGAGAGGCCTCTGCGGCACCTCGGGGGCTTCAGGAGGTCGTCGGAGGTCCTCAAACGTCTGCAGAGGTTCCCGGGAGGCTGTGGAGAGGCAGCGAACCAGCTCACGCAGCCGACTTCCCCCGCGCCTCCCTGGCGCCAGAGGCTCCAGTGTGTCGAGGGAGACGCCCGGCCGCGGGGCCGAGACCAGCTTCAGGCAGCAGAGTTCGCAAACGCCCCCTTCTGCGTTGTTTGGGCTGGGGGTGCAGGCGGGACGGACCAACAGAGGCCGTAGGTGAAGAACAAGCCGCGTCTCAAACACAACCTCCGATGTTTCGCCAGTGCTTGGGAGGAAACCAGCGCAGGCGGAAAAAACGACTGGCTCAGAAGATGGATGGTGCCGCTCTCTGTTCCGTAGCTTCTGATGCTCGAGGCTCAGGCGTGTGTACGGATGCTCTAACACCTCTGAGTGGCCCCATCGTCGAGCGAGGTTAACTAAAAAGCGCCGTTCCTACCTCGTGGTGTCGCAGTGATTTCTCCCCCTTGCGCTGCAGAACTACCGGCATTCAAGTCTGCTTCGGCCTGCTGCGATTCAACACATTCGTGTTTATCTTCGTGCTCCTCTTCGTGTTCTTCGTAGTCCGTACCGTTTCAGTCAAGAGGTATCCATCCTGAGTGCGTCGTTAGCATGCCACTCTGTCCATTCTGGCCACGGTCGCCCCACAACCCGGATCGTGTCCAGGCTCACCTTTCTCCGTGGCTGCCAGCACTTCGAAGTCCGACCAGTTCGACTGCTGGCAGTGTTGTGTGGCGGTTGAAAAGCTTAGTGCTTCGTCGTGATGTGGTTGTCCTTCATGAGGTACTCTCGGTGCTGGCTTCAGCTATGTTTGCAGATGACCGTCGTCATGGTCGTGGTGGTATTCATCGTCGCCCACTGCCTGCACTAACATCTATAGCGGTAGCAGTTTCTCGGATTCGGCTTGCACGCTGTTCGGTATCCCCGCCGCAGTGGGCTCTGCGTGTTTTTCGGGCACTACCGGATGCTGTTCGTGATAGCATTACCACTATTCGAGATGATGGTGTCTTCATGGACTTCGATCTCGTACTTATCCTACCGCCGGACACGACATCTGCGTGTGTCTATACCTTGTTCAGCCATTCATCGTGGTATATTCGGAAGGCCCGTACTCAACGCAATCGCGGTCAATCTGGCTTGGCAGATAGGTGGTATGAGCACTACCGCAGCACTGTAGTGGCACGGTACGCCGGCATCCGCAAATCTATCGGCTCGACGTCCTTCCTACCAGTAGCCAAGGCGGTGTCCGATGTTCGCGCTCTCACTTTGCAGCGAACCCTCATTGGACTTCTGGCTCCTCCTGCTAACGTTGCGGATCATCAAGAAATCAAACGGCATAGATGGCGGAGTTTTCTGCGACCCGAACGTGAAGGCACTCGCGCCCGCCCTTTTTCACGTTTCCGGCAATGGCGTGAAAGGTCCATCTGGTCCAACTCTGTGTTAGGGCAGGTTGTTCAAAAGTGTAGCGCCCCAGAAGCTGATCGTGGAAAATCTGCACTGACCCGTGCGAGGCGGCGTTTTGCAGAAAGCGTACCGCTTTCATCTAAAATAGCACCTATTACGCTCTGGCGTGCAGGGCTCCATCAATATGTTGGATATGGCGCCGGAGCTCTGACGTCTTCGATTGGCTTACTTCGCTACGCGTCATCCTACTTTACTTTGCCACCGAATTTTCCAGTGTGGAAGCGGGCGGAACTTATTCTTGGAACGGCTACTGAATTACCGTGGGCTCTTTCCAGCTATACTTTCAGGACGGCGGCTACGTCATATCTGAACCTTTTGTGCAAAGTGTACTAGCTCCCACCTGCATCCGTTCGTACACTCCGTGTTTCGCCCGAAGATTTTCAGCATTGATATCTGTGCCGACGCATCTTGCGGCGTGGTTTGCAACACATCCAGGCCCCAGCATCCAGGGCATGACTGTGCTCGCATGTACGGATTATTTCTGGCAAGGTGAAGTCATGGAGTGACAAATTCAACATCTAATCGGCCCTCGCCCAGGCGTCTGTTGCAGAGCTAGAGGCATCACATGCTGAGGATCTTGGTGGATGGGCGAGTCTCCAGCATCTGAGAGCGTGTGTGGCGCCCTGGAGGATGCCCCTGTGGCTCCGCCCCATAAATGTGCTGCGAGCTTCTCAGTCTGGTGTGAATACTCGAGCTTGCGGTAATAGATTACACCCGCCCGCTTGCGGCCGTGTCCAGCAAGAAGGCCAGACGGTCGCTGCTGCCGTGTGACGTGCTCGTTCCCCGCCCGCAGCCAGAGGATGCGCTGGGCAGGAGATGGGTACTGCTCTGTCTCCTTCTGGCATCATGACGTGCGACGATAAGATGACGACCAAAGCGACGGGGTCGAAGTTGTCCGAGGTTTTCCAGTACTTGATCCAGGGCCCCGTTCTGGATTCTGCAACGTGGGCCTTGCGTCCGTCGTGGACTCCCGAAGGTGTCTTATCTTGGTACCATGCCCGAGGATTGCTCGCCCTTCCTCGCGAGTTCGCACAGCGGAAGGTCGCCCTCTTCCCGAGGAGCCCTCGGAACCCTCCCGCCCTCTTCCCTTTTGTAAAGAGCAAGTGCTTCAACGACAAGGGGGACGGCGTTGTCACCGCCGTGGCCGCAGTTGTTTCCGCAGGGTCGTAGACATGGCTACGGTGCTTCTCAGTGCCGAGCGGAAGACCATTAGCAGAGAAGTTCGTGATGTAGTTGAGCGGGCGGGAATTTCCAGGGAGACCTTTGACATCTCGCGGGGGGCTCGTGCCTTACGTGAAAATCTGCGGTGCGTTGCCCCGCCCCCGGGCGATCGGTGTTGCCAACGGCGCCGTCGCCCGATGCATGGGGAGTTGAGCAGATGTGCCTTTGATGTTGACCAAGCGTTCGAGTCCTGTCGCGCTGCTAATGTTGTGTCTTCTTGGATGGTGGTTCTGGCAGCATACCATGAGAGGACCGGCTCAGACCAGATCTTCATTGCGAAGGGCCAGCGGTGTCATGCTGCTGCCTCCGTGCCAGTGCGGAGCCAAAAATGGTGGTGCTTCTCGCTAGTTGAGCTCACTCCAGCCGTTGCTTTGGGAATCTTCTACTCGTTTGTCTGTCTGGGCGATCTTGTGGTGGAGCTTCTGGGGCTATGCATCGGGGGCTCTCTCAGCGGAGCGGCGGTTGCTGTCAGGTTTGCTTCGGAGGAACATTTGTTTTGCCTGGACCCAGCCCAACGGGTAGCCGCGAGTTCCCCTGATGACCTGTGCGACGCTGTGCGTTCCGACATTGAGTGTGCGAGGTATGTCGATGACGTCTTGGGCTTTCCGTTCACATGCTGTACCTCATGCCTCCCAGTCTTCTTTCCGAACATGTTCTCGGAGCCTTTTATCCATGGTGTACGACTCTTATGCTGTCGGCGCGAAGCCTGTCTTCTCATGGCTGAACCTTGACCTCGTCGTGTGCCCGGGGAGTATGGGGTGGATGCTCAAGAACGAAAACCAGGATTGGCTTCCTGGACAAGGGGAAAGCGCCAACGGTTTACACCGCTTCCGTGGATGGATATGTGCCCTACGTCTTTTGCCAGAATTCTGGGGCCCTTGCTTGGCAGAATTTCTCGTGAGGGGCGTCGGGCGTTGCTGTCTCCTGCCCGGATCGTCCTGGTCATTCTGGAATACTGCAAACACAGTCTTCGTTTTTCGCCAGAGCTTGGAAGGGACCCGGTTCAGGCGGAAAAACGACCGGTTCCCGAAGATGGATAGTGCCGCTCTCTGTTCCGCAGCCTCTGATACTGCTCGAATGTCAGCCGTGTGCACGGTCGCTCTAACACCTCTGAGTGGCACCATCGTCGAGCGAGGCTAGCGAAAAAGCACCTTTCCTATCTCGTGGTGTCGCAGTGATTCCTGCTCCCTTCCTAGTCCCCCTTTTCGGCCGACCAGGGTCTGGAGAGCAGAACTTATGCACTGGGCGGGCAGGGGGAGCAGGATCAACATCATCGCGAACGGATGCAGAAGGAGGTAACTCAGACCGCTGGGCCTCTCCTGCCCGAAGCAAGGCCATGGGCGAAATACGCATCCATATGTACGGCCTCGCAGCCCGGACTCCTCGGCCACCACCCCACGGATACAGGGCGGCTTTTCGCAGGACCGCGTATCCATGGGATCGCGCCTCGGTGCCCAGACCGCGAGGGCATGGGAGTGCACATGTCCGTCGCTCGCGACCGGGGGGCCCTCAGAGGGGCATGCGGATTGGACTTTCGGGGCATCCCGCTCCTCCTCGTCCTGCGCGTCGTCCCAAAGCTCCAGCTCCTGCTCATTGGGCTCGCCGAGCTCGCCCTTGACAATCGCTCCAGCCTTCCGGGGCGGGGGGTAGCGGAGCTATCAAGGCAGATCGGGAGGGAGAGGAAGAGCAGGTGTGCATAATAGCTCATGTCAGCGCCATGCCCTTGTGCACGGCCCACGTCGGCAGCGACTAGTCATACGCCGCGCCACGGGCGCGCGGACGCGCGCGGTGCCCAAGGGCCGCGCCCCTCCACCTCAGAAGATTGCATGGTGGATCTGACCAACGCGAAACCCGCAATTGTGGGCGACACCGTCTATCCACTACGGGGCGTTCAAGACCTGCGGGCGTATTCCTGCGCTGCTGTGTGCACAGGCGCCAGTCCTCGACGGTGCGGCCTCTCGCGGGGTCGCTGGGCCATCCAAAGATCTGGCTGCCTGGGAGGCGCCTGCCTGCGAAGAGGGCACTGAGGGCAAGAGAGTCACGATAGGTTCGTGTCCTGACGACCTGAGCGCTTGTGTCTGACACCGCGTGGATCGCTCGACCTTGGATGATCGCGGCTTTCAGACAGCGAGATCCTTCGATACCGGCCGACGCTGGGCCACTGACGACGTTCAACTCTGAACGCCCGCGCTAGGGTCGCCGCCGCGTCAACGTCAACGCGGCGCGAACCCACCGTAGACGTGCATGCCCGTGCCAACATCGATTCCCTCGAGGGCTTGAGGGCGTCCGGGGGGGGGAGAGAGTTATTGGGGGCTCCAACAGGGCCGCATTGTCCCCGTCCTCCCTCATCACACCACCACCACCACAACCTCCTCCTCCTCCTCCTCCTCCTCCTCCTCCTCCTCCTCCTCCTCCTCCTCCTCCTCATCCTCGTCATCATCATCATCATCATCATCATCATCATCATCATCATCATCATCATCATCATCATCATCATCATCATCATCATCATCATCATCATCATCATCATCAGCAGCAGCAGCATCACCATCAGCATCATCATCACCATCATCATCAGCATCATCATCAGCAGCATCAGCATCATTATCAGTACCATCATCCATCCTCATCGTCATCGTCATCATCACCACCACCATCTGCAGCATGATCCTCTTCCTCCAAAATGTATCGTTCTGACTTCACGCTACCCCTCGATCCGAAAGTCACACACCTCCAGAGGCACCCACTGAGGAGGGCGGTCCCTTATTCGTGGCGCGCGCTGGTTGGGACAGAAGGTCAGTCTCGCCAGACCGTGGAGGGTCAGGGTATGGTGGCAAGCCTGTCCTGGCGTGCTCCTCCTCCTCCTCCTCCTCCAACTCCTTCTCCTTCCTCCTCCTCCTCCTCCTCCTCCTCCTCCTCCTCCTCCTCCTCATACTCCTCCTCCTCCTCCTCCTCCTCCTCCTCCTCCTCCTCCTCCTCCTCCTCCTCCTCCTCCTCCTCCTCCTCCTCCTCCTCCTCTTCCTCCTCCTCCTCCTTCTCCTCCTCCTGCTCTTCATGATCCTCATCTTCCTGATCATTCCGCTCCACCTCTCCTCCTGCTCTGGATGGTCTTCCTCATCTTGTGCACACGCCAACACGGATCAGGGATCCGTGGACCTGGCGCGCGGGCGCCGAATCTACGGATGGGCAAAAAGGTACCACCCGAACGATGAAGCCAGTGCCACCCGATCTGACGACGGAGAGCGCGCCGACTCTGCATGGAAACGGGACCCGCCGCTGATCAACGCGCCTCCGTCCATGTTTGCACTTCATCGATCCTCCTCCCCCCCCTCATCATCCTCCTCCTCCTCCTCCTCCTCCACCTCCTCCTCCTCCTCCTCTCCTCCTCCTCCTCCTCCTCTCCTTCTCCTCCTCCTCCTCCTCCTCCTCCTCCTCCTCCTCCTCCTCCTCCTCCTCCTCCTCCTCCTCCTCCTCCTCCTCCTCCTCCTCCTCCTCCTCCTCCTCCTCCTCCTCCTCCTCCTCCTCCTCCTCCCCCATCCTCCGCCGCCTCTCCCTCCGCCTTCTGCCCCCGCCTGGCGCGCTCGCTCCCCCCCGGGACCCCGCCCTGGCCTTGGCCTTGGCCTTCTGCCTCCGCCACGAGCCGATGGGGTCCGCGACCTGGACGCGCACTGCGGCGACGACGACCCTGGACCTCCGACGCCGTAATCATGTCACGTCGCAGAGCCCACAGCTCTCGACCCCGTGCGACGGCTACTGCCTCGGGCCTGGGGCGCCGTGGTCTTCTCACCAAACCAGCCCGGAGAGCTCTCGGCCCCAGTCTCTGGGACGAGGTCTTGCGGCCAGGGCGGCTCGTTTCTCGCTTCGCCTCGGGGGCCCGGAGCGGCCGCCAGGCGCTGAACGTGAGGAAAAGCGCATGTAACGAGGCGTGTTCGAAAGTCTGCAGGTCTGGGGCGACGACGACGACGACGACGACGACGACGACGACGACGACGACGACGACCTGTGGCGTCGTGCTTTTGACCGACGTCGGACCTGAAGCTATGCCCCATCCCCTAGGACCGATGTTTCGGCCGCGGACCGCGCCTTTCACTGCTTGCTCAAGGGCCCAAGAAAAAAGCCTGACGCCGACATCTGCGACAACGTATTGGGCAAGTCTCACACGCCCTCTGGGCGTACATGCGGTTTGGATAGACTCCTCATCCAACCCGTTCTTTCCAGCCAGGGATGGGGGCACCCCTCCCCATATACCCCCTATCATGGGTTCGGACTCGGGGGTCGCAAGCGATCAGAGTGTCCAAGATGACCCCAGATAACCCAAAATGGCCTCCAAGATCGCACAGTCAAGATGGTTCAGGATGGCTTCCGGCATGCCTCCAAGAGGCCCCCAAAACGGTGTCAAGACGGCTCCACCTGGTCACGGAGCCTTCCAATGTGCCTTCTCTGCTTGTTTGAAGGGGCCCTGGGACACACAAATAAATGTACACTAATAACAGGAATCCCCATATTTTCCCATATCTCCTGGGTTTTGGTCTTCCCCCCCCCACTTCCCATATTTTCCCATCTTTTCTGGGGAATCGACGATGAAGTGTGTCTGCGTGTTGTTTGTCCCTCCCGATTCTTGCTCCCATCCAGATGCCTCCAGGGTCGCCCGACAAAGACCCAAGAGGGGCCCACAAAGGCTCCACAAGGGCTCCTGGAGCCCCCCCAGAGCGCCCTACGAGACCCCAAGGAATGCGATGCTTCGTGCTCCGACAGGGGGTCTGAACCTGAGGGCAACCCCTCTTTTGAGCGATGCCCTCCAGGACTGCCCCAAGAGGCTCAAGGGCCCCAAAAGAGAGACTCAAGAGAGCCTCGGGGGCTCCTGGAAGGGCCCCAGGAGCTTCAGGATGGCCCCACTCGTTTCCCCGAGAAGCTCCAAGAGGTCTTGACGATTTGCTGGATAGGACGGAGGGGGTGCGCAGAACATCAAGAACTCGGTGGCCCCCCGGCGTGCGAGCCAGCGAGCGCCAGGTGGCCACCTTGGCCGTGCCCAAAACCCGTGGGGGTTGGAGAAGAAGGGCAGGACCGGTCAGCATCGAGTCGGGAAATCGGGTCGGATCGGAATGTGCACCGGATCGGGCCGCATCGGCACGGAGTCGGAACGGAATCGCATCGGGCGCGCCAGGATTCACAACGCCACCATGCAAGCATCGGGCCGCATCGGATCGTCGAAATTTCGAAATCGAATCGGATCGGGCCAGCCGGAATCGGTATCGGATCGGATCGATCGGATCGGAATGGACCCTGGAAGGGCAGGAGAAAGGCAGGGTATGCGATGGTAAGAATTCTGACAGGGGGGCGTGCGTATCCCCAGCAGCCCTCCCCCCGATCCCTTGGAAGGTCTCCGGGGGCCTGAGGGTGGCCTCCGAGTGGCCTGGAGATGGCCCCGAGATGGCCCCCAAGACGGCTCGGTGTAGCCTTCGCGCTCCCCACATGGCATTGGCAACGTGCTGCCCAAGGCGATGCCCGCGCGCAGAGCCGATCCCAGGTTCCGCTCGTGCCCGACAGCCTGCGCGCCAGCAGGCCTCCTGCGTCCGCGAGCAACCTCGCCCCGAGGTCGATGGCAGCGGAGGCCTTCTGCATCTCGTCCGTCGCCTGAGGGATGTCTTGGACGACTCGTGTCTGGCGCCCAGTGCGGCGCGGCAGGAGGCCATCCACTGCGACTGTGGGAGCGACTGCGCTGCCCGATGCAGGCGATGCACGGAGCCAAGAGGCCGAATCAAGATCAACCGGAGCATAGCGGCGGCCAGGGGGCAACTTGCCATGCGCAAGATGAGCGTTCAGCCCGATGCAAGGAATTCTGCAACTTCAGTTGCCACTGTCGGACGCCTGTAGCCCCTGCAGCTTCCGGGAACCAACGATGACCGATTTGCTCAAGAGCTTCAAAGAGACCAAGCCACCGCCACCCCAGAGACCGAGACCCTCTCGGTTGATCCAGTCGCCGCAGTACTAACCGATTTGGACAGGGCCGTCTGCCGCCAGACGCCCCGGAGTAATCTCGATCGTTGCGAACTGTCCACTCTGGAGCCATCGGTCGGCGCAGCCGCGCCTGAACACGAGAAAGCACGATGACCAGGTCAGCGTGGCGTGCGCCGCCGAGCATCTTGGACCGAAAAGTACCTCGGGCGAGATCTGCGGCCACGCGGCGGCCTCCTCGACCGCCGTCAGCACGTTCGAGGGAGCTTCGAGAGAGGAGCCGCCCAGCTCACTCGGACTGCCGGGGTTCGCGGCACACGCGCAGAAGCGCAAGCGGCCCTCGGGGGCACGTTGAGAACCCCCTCGTCTCCAGAGGCCGGCCTCGCCGCGCTTCGGGCAGTGGGCCCCCTCCCCTCTGGGCCGAAGCCGGGGGGCGCGTTCGGCCGCGCCCTGCGAGTGGGCGGCGTCCCACGGCTCGGAAGTTCGGGGCGAACGCTGCCGAGCATGGCGCATGCGGTCCCGGTGGCTGCGGAGGCTTCTCGTCGGGCGGGCCCGCGCTCGAGGGTCAGTGGGGGAGCACGTGCAGCACTGCTGGGGCGATTGTCGCGCTGTTCCCTGGTGGCCGCAGTCGTGCTCTGAGCCTGGGGTGCTGCAGCTGCTCGCGCGCGGCGCTTGACATACATGGTGCGGAATTGGAAGCCTCTGTTTTCCCGCTGCCGAACGCAATGCCTCCGACCAGCACAGTCACTGACTCGTATCCGGTGTTTTTTAGGGTGTCTGAGCGCAGGCCGCAAGCCACGACGGCACGCGCGTCGGCCTCGACTTATAGGTGGAAAGAGCTCAAGAGACTCCTGGATGACTTTGGGGCTCAAGATGCCCCAAGACAGCCCAACGGAGGCCCCAGATAGCCCCAAGATGCCGCCAAACGACCCCAAGACACTTTCTACGTCGCAACGCGGCAGAGGCAGTCCGCACGCGCGCTCGGGCGGGCCTGGAGACTCGGGGATCTGATGACCTGGGTTAGTCCAGACCAAGGTCGGTCAGGCCTTGCAGGATCCCGCACCCAAACCCGGGTCAGTGCGCCCCTGGCTCTGCAGGATCCTTCAAGATCCGGCGCTCTGGCTGACCCCCGTCTGCATTGACCCCCGTCCCTTGAGCCCTGGAGACGGCAGGCGCCAATTGTCCGGCGGCAAGAGCGACCCCAAGACACGCCAGGGCAACATTTGCGGGATAGTTCCCCGAAGCGGGGCCCGCCGTGGCCCCCGCTCTGGGCGGGTTCCGTTCTGCTCTGGATGCTGGGAGCCTGGGGCGACCACGATCAGGACGACGATGACGACCACCACCACGACTGCGACGACCACGGCAACAACGACCACGACAGCGAAGTCGAGGAAGGCGGCGACGGCGGCGACGACCACGACCACGACGACGACCACCATCACCACGACGATGCCAACGACGATGACGGCGACGAGGACGACGCAACGACGACGACGACGACGACGACGACGACGACGACAACGACGACAACGACGGCGGCAAAGGCGGCGGTGGCAACGGCGGCGACGTCGACGGCCACGACGGCCACGATCACCAGCGATGGGGGGGCAGGTGCCCTGAGGCGCTGCCCCTCCTTCTCCTATCCGTCGTCCTCTAACATCCTCCTCCTTCTTCTCTGCGGACTCATATTGTCCGATTGGCGCCAGAAACACAACCACAACAGGGGCGACGACGGCGGCGACGACACCCACGACGACAACCACAACCACGACCACGACCACCACCACCACACCGACAGCGACGAAAAAAGACGACGACATAGACGACGACGCCAAAACGACGACAACGACGGCGGCGATGGCGGCGACGGCGCCGCCATCGTCATCGTCCTGGTGGTCGTCTCCGCCGCCATCGCTGGGGCGCCGCCGTCTTCGCCCACGTCTTCGCCCACGTCTCCTAAGAGGTTCAAGAATGCGGGCCCAAGCTGAACCTTCAATTTTTGGGCCACTCGTCCTGAGGACCCCATCCCTTCCGGCCCCATCTTTCAACCGCCGAGCTTCGACATACTCGTCTCGATTGCAGGCGGCGGCAGAGGGCGAGGACGGCCCGATGGCTGGCCTGCTGCTGCAATTCGGCCAGCTGAGCGTCGAGGTCGACGTCCTCGGACTCATCGGCGCCCTCGGCGTCCTCCTTGGGATCACGCCGTCGCCGTCCTCGTCGTCGTTGTCGGTCGCCACCGAAATCCTCGGCGTCGTGATGATTCGAGACAAAGAGCTGTTCTTCAATATCCTGAGTAAGGGATTATTGCTATTACTGGAACGCCTCAGCCTCCGTCCCGCCTCCCTCCCTTTCATCACACTCAGACCACTCATACTCAGACTCACTCACTTTGAGACTCACTCACTTTGAGACTCACTCAGAATCAGACTCACTCACCGTCAGAACACGCAGCTCACATTGACCACACTCACTCACACTCAGACTCACTCACACTCAGACCCACTGATACCCAGACGCATTCGCACTCAGATGCATTGATATCCTGTCTTGCCAATGCTCAGACTCACCCATACACAGACTACTCCCACTCAGACCCTCTCATACCAGCCAAACCATACCGTACTCACACACACATATATCATTCACGAGCTGATCATGATACCGGGGCAAAACCAAATGGAAGTCTTTTTAGGGCTATAGGGCTATGGGGCTACTGGGCTATATGGCGATGGGGCTATGGGGCTGTAGGGCTATCGGGCAATAGGGCTATAGGGCCATAGGGCTATAGGTCTATAGGGCTAAAAGGCTATAGGACTACAGGGCCATAGGGTTATAGAGCTGTAGAGCTATAGGGCTATGAGGCGATGGGAATCTGGGGCTGTGGGGCCATGGGGCTATGAGTTTATAGGGCTATGGGGTTATAGGGCAATAGGACCATAGGGCTATAAGGCTATAGGGATATAGGGCTATGGGGCTATCGGGCTATAGGGCTATAGGCAGATATAGAGCTACAGGGCTATAGGGCTATAAGGCTGTAGGGCTATAGGAATATAGGGCTATAGGGCCATAGGGCTATTGGGCTACTGGGCTATAGGGTTCTAGGGCTATAGGGCTATGGGGCTATAGGGCTATGGGGCTATGGGGCTATAGGGCTATAGGGCTATAGGGCTATAGAGCTATAGGGCTCTAGGGTGATAGGGCGATAGGGCCATAAGGCTATAGGATTACAGGGCCATAGGGCCATTGGGCTGTTGGGCTAGTGGGCTATAAGGCTGTTGGGCTATGGGGCCATAGGGCTATAAGGCTATAGGCCTGTAGGGCCATACGGCTATAGGGCTACAGGGCTCTAGGGCTACAGGGCTATAGGGCTCTAGGGCTATGAGGCACCCAGGCACCCGAGCACCTGGGCACCCGGGCACGGGGCCCCCGGGCGGGCCGCGGGAATCGGTGACAAACCTCACCTAACCCTATGAAGCCACTAGGACACCTTCAGAGGCAAGCTCTGATTGGAAAATTAAACTCACTGCAAGATTCCCACAGCATGGCAGGCGTGGCACTGGGGCACCCCAAGGGGAGAGCCGCCATGGAGGGGAACACTCACCCGTTGGCGCCCAGAGTGTGGGATGGCCCAAGCGGGTTGCCTGCTTGTGCACCCAGACTCCTCTCTTTTGAGGGCCCCATGATCACCAGCGTGGTATCTGGGCACCCCAAGGCGGGAGCCGCCATGGAGGGCGACGGGGACACTCGCCCGTTGGCGCCCAGACTGGGGACGGACCAAGCGGATTGCCTGCTTCTGCCCCCTGCCCCCCCCCCCCCAGACTCCTCCCTGGTGAAAGCCCCATGATCACCGCCACACAGCAGGCGTGGCACTTGGGCACCCCAGGGGGGAGCCGCCAAGGAAGGAGACATTCGCCCGTTCGCGCACGGGTTGTGGATGTCTCCAGATGTGTGCTTGCTTCTGTCACCCAAACTTCCGTCTTCTGATTGCCCCATGATCAACGCGACATAGCAGGTGGCACTTGGGCACCCCAAGGGGCAGCCGCCAGGGAGGGGGAACACTCGCCCGTTCGCGCCCAGACTGTGGGGATGTCTCAAACAGTCCAGACGTCTCTGTGCTGATGGCACCATGATCACCGCGACATAGCAGGCGTGGCACTGGGTCACCCCAAGGGGGAGCCGCCAGGGGTGCATCATGGACCCATTCGCGCCCAGATTGAGAAGATACCTGAAACGGTGCGCCTCTTTTGAAGGCTCCATGACAACCGCGATATAACAGGCATGGCGTTTGGCACCCCCAAGGGGGGGGCCGCCATTGGGGGGATGTCTCAAGCCACGAGAGCGAAGAGGAGTCGGCAGCGGCGAGGCGGCAGGCGGCGACGAAGAGGGATACGATGGGGAGAAGTGATGAGAAGAGGAGGGAGAGAGGGAGGGAGAGAACGAGAGGAGATGAGAAAGAGGAGGAGGAGGAGGAGGAGGAGGAGGAGGAGGAGGAGGAGGAGGAGGTAGGAGGGGATATAGTGGAAAGGGGGGGAGGACGAGGAGGAGAAGGACGAGGCCTCGTCCTCGGCGTGCTCGTCGGATTGCTCGCAACGCAGGGAGGAGGAGGAGGAGGAGGAGGAGGAGGAGGAGGAGGAGGAGGAGGATAAGGAGTAGTGGGAGGGGAGGGGCATGGAGGAGAAGAATGGAGGAGGACATTGGAGGAAAAGTAAGTCCGAAAACTTGTTACATCTGACGGCGATCGACTCTAACTTCACTTCCACAACTTGCCTAACGATCACCTCATCTGCCCTGCCGCTGGTGCATCCATTCCGTTGGTCCCAGCGCGGGGCTACGACGCTGACGCGCTGGTTCCAGAGGCTTAGCTCACGAAGTCCGTCTGCAGCTCGACCTTCTGCAAGTGGGTAAGAATCGACCACGCCAGCTGCCACTGGCTGTCCCTCTCACACGTCCTGGTCGCAGCGAAGAAGTAAAGACGTCCGGCTTCGCCGCGGCCGCCAACGACTCGGCGACCAACAACAGCGCCTGCAGCCATGTTCCTCCTTTCTCGCACGCACTGGCCCTGACACCAAAGCTAACTACGACAGGCTCCAGCTTCGCCTGGCACGGCTCGCTCAGCAGCGACCGCGCCTGCTGCAACTCGCTGCTGCTTTCGCGTGAGCGTATTGCAATGTTGGAGCTGCCTCGGGGACTACAACGTGACGTCCCGCAGATCACCTAGCAGCGACAGTGCTTCCCGACGCTGCCCGCCCTTCTCACATGCGCTGATCGCAGCGCTATAGCCGATGATGCTGGGCTCCAACTTGGAAGAACGTACCTCGCCGAGCAGCCACAGTGCATGCAGCGACTGCCCGCTTTTCTCACACGCGCTGATTCCAGCAGTGCAAGAGATCGCGTCGATTTCAAGACCCGCCTCCAGCATCTCGCTGAGCAGTAACAGCGCCAATTGCCACTGCCTACTCTTCTCGCAAGCACTGACTAAAGCGCTGTAGGTGATGATGTTGGGTGTCAGTTTGGACTTCCGTGCCTCGCTGAGCAACGATAGAGCTTGCAACCATTGCCCGGCTTTCTCGCACGCACTAATCCCAGCACTATAACAAACAATGTTGGGTTCCAGCTTCACCTCCCGCATCTGGCTCAACATCGCCAACGCCGGCTGCCACTTCCTGACTTTCTCGAATGCGGAAATCACAGGGCTGTAGTTATAGGCATTGGGCTCCACCCGAGCTTCACACATTTCGCTAAGAAGCGAAAGTGCCCAGTCCCACCGCCTGACTCTCGCGCACGCGCTGATCACAATGCTGAAGCTCTTGGCGATGGGCTCCAACTTCGTCTCTCGCATCTCGCTGAACAGCGATACTGCCCGCTCCCACTGTTTGACTTTATTGCACGCGCTGGACGCAGCGTTGTAGCTTACTAGCGTAGACATGGATTCAGAAGACAAATGCGAAACTGTGGCCAGCAGCCGAGCACGTCTGTATAGCAGATTTAGCGGCAGGTGATCTCACAGACCCGGTGTGACTGCGGGGGCTCTGCACAGGTCGGGATCGTGGGATGCTTTCGGGGACAGCCTGGGCCCTCTTGGGACCCTCTTGAGGCCGTCGCGGGCCCTCTTGGTGCTACCAGGACGTCACTTGGAGCTTGTGGATGGTAATTTTGGGGGCGGGTGGCAGTCCTGGGAGTTCTTGGGACCCAGGGCGGCGTTGGGCCACCAGGGAGCCGCCTCGGGGCCGGTCTGGAGACCAGGGCAGCGTCTGGGGCCTTCTCGGAGCTTCCGAGGGGACTCTGCAGCGCTGCCCGAAGCCCGTGGAGTCCATCTCGAGCGCTGCTGCGATGGACGATCTCGGCATACCGAAACTGCTGAGCAAACACTGGTTGTGCATGCTTGTCTTTGGGGGCATTGCGGAACTCTCTAGACGCCATGTTGGTGCCATTCGGGCGTTTGGCAGCAGCCTTGGAAACCTGTCGGGGCATCTCGGGTGCCTCTGGGACCGTCTTTAGGCCTGCCCAGCCGATTTGTCCCCCTCGAGTGCGGACACACTGCTCGTACATTCCGTACGCGCTGCACCTGGTATTGTAGAAGAGACGACGTCGGGTTCCAGCTTCGCCTCCCGCAATTGCGCGAACAGCGACAGTGCCCGCTGCCAGTGCCTGCCTCTCGCACAAGCGTTGATCCCAGCGTTGTAGCTCATGACGTCGGGCTCCAATTTCGCCTCTCGCATCTCGCTGAGCAGCAAGAAGGCATGCTGCCACTGTACTGCTGTCTCGCACGCGCTGATCCCAGCGTTGAAGCTGATGACATTCGGTTCTAATATCGCGCCGGACATACCGCGGAGCAGTGTCAGGGCTTGCTGCCATTGCTCGCCGTTCCCACACACGTTGATCACAATGTTATAGCTGGCAACATCGGGCTCCAACTTCGCCTCCTGCATGTCGTTAAAAAGCGACAGGGCCAGCTGCCACTGCTCCCCTGTCTCACACGCACTGATCGCAACGTTCCAGCTGATGACGTTAGATTCCAGTCTCGTATCCAACGCTTCGCTGAACAATGCCAAGGCCAGCTGCCACTGCTCGCACTTCATGCACGCACTGATCCCAGAGTGGTAATTGACTTGGGCTGGCCTGGTGACTGCTGTCAACGCACGCTCACTCGCAGGTCAAGGTAGCGAGATCTGTGCAAACTGAACACAATTGTTGGAATCGCGGCCACGCGCGCGGCGGCGCGGCGTAGGGCAAGTCAAGCGGAAGAGCGTGGGCCAGGCCAGCTCACGTAGCGCGGAGAAGCTGGATCCACCCACAGGGGGTCGACAACATGAACACTCGCGAGGGGGCAGTCGCGAGGGGAGTGGGAAATGGGGAAAGGAGAGAAAAGAGGGGAACACGGACAGGGCGAAGCAGTGCGGCAGTGATAAGCCCAGGCAGCAAGCGAGGCGCAGTAGGAGGGCGGCAGCAGCCGACAAGGAAGGAGAAACGAGGCAGCGCGCGGACAAACGGCGCTCACCTTTCTGTTTCACGGCCGGTTGATCCAACACGGCGAGTGCAAGAACGGGACGCGCTTGAGAGGGAATTGCAACCGAGCGCGTGCCGAGGGGAGGTCAGACCGACGAGCAGATGGCGGTTGCGGGTGAAGAGGTGGCAAAGGCCGTGCACGTGGAAGATGCAGGCACGCGCAAGGATGCAGAGCCAACGAGGACGCAAAGCAGACAGCGCGGTCGGTGAGGGTGCCCGACTGCAAGGGCGAAGCACGGGCTGAAGGGGGGGGGGGCCGGCAGGGACGACGGGCGGTGTGCTGGCGGCGCCTGCAGTGACCTCCCCAACGCCAGAAGCGGTGCGCCCGCAGATAGGTGGACGACCCAGACGAACAGCACGGCAGCAGGGGGCAGAAGAGGGGGCAGAGAGCGACAAAGAGCGACCCGACGACGGCAGAGGAGGACCAGACCTGGGCGAGAGCCCGAGGGACGAGCAGAGGAGGTAAGCCAGGAGCGACGCACGACGGCGAGGGAAGAGGGGAGGACGACCCCACCAGGCAGCACGCCGGAGTCGGGGCAAAAACCAAACAGCACACACACACATGATTCACAACATGGGCCAGAAGTGCTGCAGGTGCTAATTTGAGTAGGGGCGCCAGCGTTGAGGAAACGTTCGGAACTCAAAAGAAGGTGCGTAATGGCAGCACCGTGCGCACTCAACGCACGCACGCACGCACACACGGCTTGTTCTCGACGCGTCAAGGCAGACACAGCGCGGCAGGTAGCAGCGTGGTATATGAAAGGCAAGGTTGATTCGCGACACGGCGAAGGCAGCACAACACGACACTACAAAGCACTTCAACGAACAGTCGTGCTCGCGACAAAGCACGGAGGTTATATACGACAGCACGTCGAAGCGTGGCAGGGCACTTAGGCAGCGGCACCCGAGAGAACAGGCCTGTACGCTACATGGCGAGACGGATTCGGCCATCAGGAAGTGCAACTGCCGATATGAAATGAACAATTTGTTCGCGACATAGCTGCAACGGGGTGGCCTCTTGGCTTCCCGTCGCTTGCTGCTGCTTACTGTCGTTGGTCTCCGCTTGCTTTCGCTTGCTGCTCATCAATGCTTGCTGCTGATTGCTGTGCTGCTGCTTGCTGATGCATGCTGCAGCTTGTTACAGCTGCTTGCGGGTGGCCGCTGCTGCTTGCTGCTCCTGGTTGTCGCATACTCGTGCTTGCTGCCATTTGCGGCTATTTGTTGTTTGCTGCTACTTGCTGCTGCTTGCTGCTACTGTTGTTTCTTGGTTTCGCTTGACGCTGTTTCTTGCTTGCTGCTGGCTACTCGTTGCTGCTGCTTGCTCTGGTGCTACTGCTGCAGGGACTTGGAAGACTTCTGGACTCTCTTGGGGCTTCCATGGGACTCCCTAAAGCATGGAACCCCTTGGGGCCTCCACCTGTGCCGGCACCAGCGCTGGCGCTGGTACTTTTCTCTGGTAGCGGTGATGGTGCTGGTGCTGGTGCCAGTGCCGATGACGATGCTGGCGCTGGTGCCGGCGCCAGCGCCAGGGCCCTCGCCCGTGCTGGTGCTGGTGCTGGTGCTGGCGCAGGCTTGCCAGTGTGCCATGATACCCGTGGCGCTGTTGCCCGTGCCAGCTCCAGTACCCGTGGCTGCTGTCGGCGACGGTGCTGAGATCAGGAAGGGAAAGGAAAGGAAGCATTTACACTCGACGAATGGGGCTACAGACCAAGAAGATATTGTACTGCACAAGCTGGCGGACCCCGTAGTCCTATTGTGCATCACGCGCTGCGCGGGCGAACCCAGCAGCGTTGCATGCGAGGACCGCAAGATGCCGTCCTCGACACTCCAGGTGTCGCACTCACGAGTTGCATTCGCCGCAGCAAGGCGCACCCTGAGCGAGAGAGCGGGGAAGGGCGAGGAAGTCTACAGCTGCCAACGGTAGTCGGCAAAGGCTACCTGTTGGAACACCCTTCGGGTGATATGGCGGTGGGGGGGGAAGGGTGCAGCTTTCGGTTTTCGGTTGGCGTCAGATCGGATCTGCGAACTGACTATGTGGCGACCTCGATACCGACATACCGATATCCCACAGATCAGCCTCACGATCTATCAATCTATCCCACCACCGCAATATCGATCGGGGTCTGTCTATATACACATGGACATAAACATGTACGACGTATAGACACAATCCAGGTGGCGATCGATCTCACGGTCGACCGGTCCCACCATCACTCCCGACATCACGACCTGTATATTGGATGCATCGGCCGATCTCGCAATCAACCAATATACACATACACATATATGTCTATACATTGTATATATATGTATATATATATATATCGACCTCGCTAACGACTTCCCTGTCTCAGTGTCTATTAGAAGACGGGGCAACCACGCGACAACCACAGGACAACCACGGGACAACCACTAGCCAACCACGGAACAACCACGGGACAACCGTGGGATAAGCATTGGACGAGCCAGGGAAAACCACGAGACAATCACGCGAGAACCACGGGCAACCACGCGACAAACACGGGAGCACCCAGGACGAGCGAGCCGCCCGACGACGGGGAGCAGCAAACCGAATGACAGCACGTTGCCCTAACGAGGCCAGAATCTCTCTCGCCATTGCGCAGCCTGTCCTTGCCCGTACGCGTGCCACGCACGATACGAAACGAAACCGAAACCGATTGTGCAGTTGGGGAACTCCGTTTCACTTCGATCTCACCCCTCAGTCTTCGATTGGCAGGAGGAGCAGGAGGAGGAGGAGCAGCAGCATCAGATGAGCAAGAGGAGAAATGGGTGGAGGGAAGAAGAGAAAAAGACGGGAAGGAGGAGGAGAAGGAGGAGGAGAATGACAATGTCGAAGAAGAAGAGCAGCAGGAGGAAAGGGGAGCGAGGGAAAGAGGGAGAAGTAAGATAACCAGGAGGATGGGGAGGAGAAATAGCAGGAGGAGGTGGAAGATGAGATATGTGGAGTCGAGCGGGAAGGGAGGACTGGGGGGGAATGAGCAGAAGACGCATGAGGAGAAGAGGACGTAGTCAGAGCTAATCGTCTCATCCCCGACCCCCGCCCGCATTCTCGCCCCGATCCTGACCCTCTCGCATCACCACAGGACTAAACCTAACCCAAACCCATACCCAAGTCATAGACCAATACCCAGCGAATACAATCACCATAATCCTACATCGAACACTTGCCCTCCTCCTCGTCACCCTCAACAAAACCCTAACCCCAAACAAAATATTCACACGAACCCAAATTCTGACTCCTACTGCATCTGCGAACTCAATCTGAACCCCAATCCCGAACGCGATCCCAACCAAGAATGTATCCTGATCCTACCACCGAGCCGAGCCCTAGCAAACACTCTGGCCCTGACCCCAAACCTGGTCTAGTCCTCACGCCAACCCCACACCCCTACCCCAACCCTTACCAGCCTCGCGTACTGACCCCCTGCTTGACCGTCGACTGGACCGCGACAGGCGGGCCGGACGGGCTGCCAGACCCTAGCAAGCGGGACGGGCGGGTGGGTAATTCAGGCGGGCGGGCGGGATTTCAAGCAAATAGACTTGTGGATGCCATGACAATGGACACTCTAACAATCCCATCACTGAAATTTAAAGTGTGTGTGAGATGCGTAAAACATGTTCTGAAGATGGCTCAAACGTGTTTCTGACCTCTGGAAGTTCTTTGGCAGCACGCTTCCTCTCCATTGTAGGGCGACGAAATCTATACATATCCACTGCTCCCTGGCCAGGCCCATCCTCAACCCCGCAGCGGTGTATACGCCACGCCCTCCTGGCTTGGCCAGGAGGGCGCATACACAGCTCCTGGGTTCAAGATGGGCATGGTCAGGGAGCAGTGGATATGTATAGATTTCGTCGCCCGACATTGATCGACCTCCACAGAAATAGACGGGAGGGCCCTCACGGGCGAGTGGGCGGGGGCGGGCGAGCGGAGCGGAGCGGGCGGCTCCGCACGGGCAGGGCGGGCCGGTGGCCGGGCCCCGACGGGCGGGCCGGGCGGGGCAGGCAAGTGGGCCGGCAGAGTTTCCAGCAGGCGGGGAGATGGACCACGGTGGGCGGGGCAGGCATCTGTTGTGGGAGTTTGCACATCGCCTGGGTCCCTGTCCAACGACTGGTGGTTAGCCGATGATCGCAATTCCCCTACCCTACCAACCCCTGCCCATCACTACAGGTTGGGCAAGGGTGGATGGAGGGGGGCACGGGGTCGCGATTGTTGTGCCAACATGCCGTCAGAGGGCGCCGCGAAACTCGGGCGAGAGGACGTGCCCGGACGGTCCGGGCGGGCGGGTGCTGACGGGCGGGTCGAGCGGGCGGAAGAGCGGAAGGCTGGGCTTGCAAGCGAGCGAGGGCAGACCTCCACGGGCGAGTCGGTCGGGAGGGCACTGACAGGCGGATCTGTCTGGACGGTGCCGCGGCCGGCGGACCCTGACGGGCGGGGCGGGCGGGCGGTCCCTAACGGACGGGTCGGACGGGTGGGCTCTCAAGGAAGGGAGGGGCAGACCTGGGTGGGTCGGGCGGGCGGGTCGGACGGGACATTGCCGCTGGCTGAACGGGGTTCATGCCAGCGAGTCGACGTGCAAGCGGGTCAGGGGCAGTTGGGACGGGCGGGCGGGCGACCACGACGATCACGACAAAGCCTGACGGCGAAGGTGAGCGTCGACGCAGACGAGAGAAGACGATGACGACGAGCTAAGACGACAAATGACAACGACGGGTGATGTAGACGACGACGACGACGACGACGAGAGACGACAACGACCACGACGATCACGATAAGGATAACAACGAGTGACCACGACGACGACAACGACGAGCGACGACTGCGACGAGTAACGACCAAGGACGAGCGCGATCAGAGGAGTCACGACGAGCAAACAACGAAGGGTGACGACGATGACGATGATGACGACAACGAGCGACGACGACGACGACGACGACGACGACGACGACGACGATGAGTGACAACAATGACGACGACCACCACGACGACGACTGCGGCGGGCAACCAGCGACGACGAGTGATGGACACGGCGACGGCGACGACGCCGACGACGACGACGGCGACAACGACGACGACGACGACGACGACGACGACGAAGACGACGACAATGGCGACGGCGACGGCAATGGCGACGGCGAAGGCGACGGCGAAGGCGACGACGAGGCGGCGACAACTGACGACAACGAGCGACGACGACGAGCGACGACGACGACGACGACGACAACTGACGACGACGACGAGCGTCGACACGAACGACGGAGGACGACGGGAGGTAACCACGATGACGGTAACAAACACCCATGACGACGGCGAGGCTCAACGACAACGGCGAGGACGACGACGAGCGAGGACGAGTGACAACAACGAGCCACGAGGACAGCATAGAGAGCAGCTACGAAAAAGCGACGAGGGCGTTGCCCGGTGACAGGAGCATGGCGGGCTTCAGCTGACTGACCCGCACGGGCGGGTCGGGCAGGCAGAACATGAAGGCAGGCGGGCGGGCTTTCGAGCAAGCGAGCGGGCGGCCCCTAGTGGGCGGGCGGACACTACCGGGCGGGCGGGCGGGCGGACCCTAACGGGCGCGCGGGGCGAGCGGCGGGCGGACGGGCGAGCTTTCGTGCAAGCGAGCATATGTCCAGCATGCGGACACTAGCAGGCGGGTCGTGCGGGCGAACCCTAACAGGAACGCGGGTGGGCTTCAAGAGGGTGAGCATGCCGACCCTGGCTGACGGGCAAGCGGGACGACGACGACGACGACGACGACGACGACGACGACGACGACGACGACGATGGCGCGAACGACGACGACGACGACGACGACGACAGCGACGACGAAAGTGAGGTAGACGGCCACGGCAACGGCAACGACGACAACGACGAAGGCGAAGACGGGGACGAGAGCGGCGATCACGACGACGACGACAACAACAATGAAGATCATTTTGAGACTGTACGCTCTTACTGGCACGCGTGTCTTGCATTCCGTATACTCCAACCCTAGATACCCGCCCACTTCGTCTTCGATTGCACCCCCTTTCGCAGGGAATCTCTTCCTTGTCGGCCACTGACTGAAGTGCGAAGAAGTCTCGAGCGAGAGCGCCGTTCCTGAGTTCGGGGGCCTCTCTGGCCAGGGGCTCTCAGAATACCTATCGAGAAATATCGAACGGGAGCCCTTGACGCCGTGTCCGGGCCTCCACCAACTTGCCTGAATTACGGGAAGGTCTCGAGCGAGAGCGCCGTTCCTGAGTTCGGGGGCCTTCTTAGCCACGGGCTTTCGGAGTAAATCGTGAGGAAGTATCGAGCAGGAGCCCTTGTCGTCGTGGCTGGGCCTCCGCCAACCTAACTGACTTGCGAGGAAGTCTCGAGCGAGAGCGCCGTTCATGAGTTCGAGGGCCTCTCTGGCCAGGGTGTCTCGGGGTAAATTGTGAGGAAGTATCGAGCGTGAGCCGTTGTTGTCGCTGCTGGGCCTCCAAGGGCCCACATTTAGGCTCAAGCCAACGCTCGAGCGAGAGCCTCGTTTTCAGAGAAAGTGTAGCCGGCGTCGAGGCGAGAGCGCGCGGAACCGTTTCCGGAGACCAACAATAATTATTCTTTAGAGAAATGAATATTCAAGGGCGACGGTGTCTGCGTCGACAACGCCGCCAACGACGACTGCGATGGCGACGGCGACGGCGATCGATGACCACGAAGAGCGACGAGCGGCGACAACGACTGCGACTAGTACGACAACGTCAACGACCACCACCACCACCACTACAGCATCCTCTACCAGGACTAAAGCGATGATGCTGAGACGCACGGCGACAACGAATGGAACCACAAAGAGGACACCACCAGCACAACCATAACATCGCAGCAGCCTGAAGAAGCAGACGAAGACTGAAGCAGGCGTGCCAGACAAAAAAAAACTGGTTGAAGCCGTCTGGTGGAAACGGTGAGCCAAACCAAGCGCACCTGGTTGCGCCGGTGTCCGTGCTGGTGCCAGGTGGTACCAATGCCAGTGCTTCGGTGCTGGTGCCAAGGCTGGTGGCGGTGCCAGCGTGGGCGACGGCGTCGTTGCGGGTGCTAGTGCTAATGCCAGTGCGTGCCTGTGACGGTGCTGGTGCCGGTACCGATGCCAGTGCTGGCGCAGGCGCCAGCACCAGTGCCGGTGCCAATGCCAGTGCTGGTGCCAGAGCGACTGCTGGTACAAGTGCCGATGCTAATGCCGGCGCTGGTGCTGGTGCCAGCGCAAGTGCCAATGAGCGAGAAGCGCTCCATAGTGGACTGCCTCGGGGCCTGTTCGGCCAACGGGGCGCCATTAGCCTATCGGGCCCTCTTGGGTCCGTCTGTGTCGCTCTGGTGCTGTCTCGGCGGCATCTGGGAGCCCACTGGGGCCATCTTTTCAAGATTCTGGGGGCTGTCTCGGGGCCTCCCTTGGGCTGTCTTGGCGCACTCTGTGGTCCGCCTCGGACCACTCTGGGGCTCTCCTTGGGACCTCTTGGAGCCTCTGAAGGCCTCTTGGGCCATGTTCGGGGGGCTCAGGGATCTCCTTCGGCCTTGCTAGGCACCTCGAGGGGGTCTCAAGAGGCCTGAGCACAAGGGTGTCAAGCTGCAGTTGCCAGGGCCATGGGCCAGTTCTGCACTCGTCGGACCCTGCAGGCACGCTCTGCTACCAGAAATGTTGGAGATGATGATGATGATGATGATGATGATGATGATGATGATGATGATGATGATGATGATGATGATGAGAATGATGATGCTGATGATGATGATGATGATGATGATGATGATGATGATGACGATGACGATGACGATGACGATGATGATGATATTGATGATGATGATGCTGCTGCTGCTGGCGGTCGTGGTGCATGTGTTGGTGTTGGTGCTGGTGCTGGTGCTGGTGGTGGTGGTGATGCTGATGATGATACTGATGTTGATGGTGGTGATGATGAGGGATGGAGATGATGATCATGAGGATTACGATTGTGATTATGATGGTGATGATAACGATGGTGCTAATAATCATGATGGGAATACTGATGCTGGAAAGATAGATGATGTTGGTGATGGTGGTGATGAAGCTTATGATGGTGATGGCGATGATAATGATGATGATGATCCTGATGGTCGTGACGGTGGTGCCTGTGTTGATGTTGGTGCTGGTGTTGGTGATGGTATGGTGATGATGGTGATGATGCCGATGTTGACGATGATGGCGACAATGACGGTTATGATGGCGGTGGTGATGATGGTGACGGCGGCGACGATGC